TTGTCTTCAGTGTCCTGCACTCTTCCAGATAAGGAGTGCAGCACGCCAGACCACCCATGGCTATGACATGCACAGACAGAAGAAACACCCCACCCGCCGACCTCAAGCCTCAGTGTTTCACCACCGACAGCACCTCTGCTGCTGGGAAACGCTGGCACTGTCCCCTTGCACTCTCAACATTCCCCTCCCTTCCCCATCTAACACACTGTGAGCCACCAGTGGCCTGTTTACATTCCCTGACTTCTTAATCTCACACATACACATTTTAAATGGGACAAGTACAGAGCTCTGGGGAACCTCGCTATTGGACCACACTGCTGAACTCGGTAAGAATGAAGAGGATTATATACTTGAGTGTGTGTCTGTGCCCATTTGTAACGGGATGCCCTGAGATGACAAGAGGCTAAAGACAGCTAATGATAATGTGAATATATAATCCATATTTCACATCGCTGTAAAAATGAGTGAAATTAAAGAGTTTATTCATCTATATAAAGTTGTTTTGGACTCCTGTGTCTTTTATTGTATGGACAAAAACAGTTGGAATATTCTTCAAAATATTTTCCTTTGTTTTCCAAAGAAGACAGAAAGCATAGGCGCCGGTTTACGTTCCTGCCGTTGGGTGCGAATCATTTAAATTAAGTTACGGTATTAAAAAACAATATTTCTAACACAGAACAATTACGTAACCCTTAGGCTACAAGGTGATTTAAGTTGTATGCACATACTTTGAAAATGAAAATGACATTTGCAGAAGGTTTATACATGTAGCTCGCTGACACTTAATAATCAGGGAATTTTCCAGACTTTAAATAAATAACCATTTACATGATTAGGATGTTTGCATTGTAAGAATGTTCTTCACTTGTTATGACGTCAAGCCCTCGAGCACCCATAGGATCTATGACAGATATTCATATAGGTTTTCAACTATCCCATTAAGAAAAGTTATCCTAAAAATTATATATTTTTTAATTATATGTTGTAAGCTACTAAAAAGTTATACAGCAGTTTAAGGCCTCCCTGAGTTTAAGGGAGGCTGCTTATCATTGGACAACAAATGAGTAAATATTGAACCTGCATTATAATCCTGTTGTTGACAATCCAGTTTTGACAGTAAGGAGCATTTGGGGGATTTCACATAACTTTAATATAAAAGACTCATAGAGCACAAGGAAACACATTAAATAAAAATGAAAGATGGCAAAGCAAATGAAAGATGGCAAAGCAAATGGAAGATTTGCACAGCGCGGAAAACATGTGTCCTTCTGAGAACGGGGTTTTGCTGTCATAATTCTACACTGGATGCTAGAACAACATATCAGACAAACCTCATGCAGTATGGAAGACTATCTCCCCCAGTCCATCTGCATTCAAAGCCAAGCACTCAAAGGAGGATTTACAAAAAGCTGTTTGGGACAATAAATAATGCAATAAATACGAGTAATAAAACATAACAGATGGATTCATCTCAACAAAACATTTCTGGATCATTATTTTGGATTTGTATCAACAACTGTTTTATCTGATGATCTAAACACAATAAAAAATATGTTTACTCTGAACAAGAAGAGAATTCATACTTTTAAGTCTTTATGTCCCAATTTCAGTCTTGTATAACAGTGAACAGCACCCTGTGGAGTCATTCCATTTTCAAGTCAGTTAAGTAAGTGCTCTTTAACACAGAACAAATGAAGCTGAATTAGAAAACTGTTCTGATTTCTCATCTACTAGTTGTGTAAGAGTTCATAAAATTAGGTCTAAATTAATAAACATTTCCATATTATTCCTATTTCCTAGACACAGATTGTATTCAAATACCCTGTTGTTTCCTTCTTTTTGTTCATATTTTCTCACATATTATCTCTCTCATCAAGCCTGCCACAGACACACATTCTCAAACACACCTCCTTACCACCCTTAGTCTCAGGTGTATAAAGTGTACAGCGTAAGCTATAATCAGTTCACCAACCAGACCAACCACATATTTCCTCCATTTACCATGGGAAACTGCACTGAGAACTCTGTGGAGAAAGTGGCTGGAATGACACTTGCACAATCATATTTTTTTACAGTCTCTAACACTGTCATGAGATGAGGCCCTTGCATACTGTAAACTATGCAGACTCCCTTGGATGACTGCTCTTAAGGTGTCCAAAAGAGCTTCTACAGAACGCTCGCCATCTGTTCTCACATTAACCGTTAAGTTGTTCCATGGGTTTACTTTAAATCTTGCTCTGTGGAGCTCCTGTTTGTTTGGAAACTTGATAAATAGCACAAGCAGATCACAACACCGCCAGCTGCGCGGTAGACTGATGTCCTCTATCGCAAAGTTTGACATGGGTTTGGTGTCCCGACACATGATTCAAATCAAACTGCAGCCGCAAAGAGACTGTCTCAACACCAAACAAGATGAATGTGCTGCCCTCTGTGGGAACGACTACAAACATGTCCAAACAGGCATGTGGGTATAAACAAATACACCTGTCCTGAATGCACTGACATGCCACTACATTATGATCTTAGACAACTTCACTAGCCCCACCAAAACTAGACTGTCAGGAGAAAGCAAGTACTGCCTCAGGCTCTTCAGCCCTTTCAAAGAGAGCTGCAAGACCTGAGTAGACAAGCCCACATTAGTACTAATTGTTCCCTTGTGACCAGTCAGGAAGGGACAGGTGGGACATTTCTTTAGTTAAGGAGATAGGAAGAAAAAAGTCAGTCACATTAACATGACATTTCTTAATAATATTGTAAAATAGTGCTTGCTCAGTTGAGTTTTATGATTAGTCTTAACATTCCTGCTGCATTTTTATCAGCAAAATAAAGTGAAGAGACAAGGCTGGTGATTTTTTTTTTTTTGCACTAAAGGGCATGACACTTGAGTGTGTCATGGAGCACGGAGTTAATAATAAAAACACACATCCCCTCTTCTTGGCCCCACTGCCCTCCAGCAACCCCGAACATGCTCACGACCACTGCACCAGAAACCCTGAGCAGTCAACCACGACCCTGCTTTGAAGTTAGCACGCACTTCCTGCAAGTTACAAGAAAACGCAGCCTTTTAGGATCTGAATAGGGAGGAGGTAAATCTAAGGAAGTCACAATTGAGACAATGGTCAAGATGAGCTTACTAAACAGGAAAGTCTTTCTTTTACCTACAGTTTACTTTTTCCAATTGTGACAGGCGGGACTAGCAAAACCTCAAATGAATCTGCTTGGCGGGGATTTTGAAAGACTCTCACATCCTTCATAGTGCCCCGCCTTCCTTCTGTCTCTGCTTCGGTTTCCAGCCAAATGTATGAAAGTTGCTTTCAGAAATATTGGCATGCTTTTCTTTAGAATGGGTAAGAGTTCATGGGAATCCATACATGTCTATCATTTGCTAGCAATTTGATCTTTGCCTTTTTAATATCGTGAAGCCTGAGAAAAGAGCAGAAGAGCCAGGGGAAAACACCAGCCATATATCTGTAATGGAGCACCACACGTGGGGGATAGGGAGTTAGTGTGCTGCCCCGCTCTGTTTCACACAAGAGTTTCTCAGGTGGCCGAGTCTCCCCCGCAAAACACCCACTAAATCTGCCCCCATGCTTCATTTCACAGATAGAGATCTTAATAGCCTCAGCAAAACTACAACAGCTTGTTCGTAAACTGGAAGTATCAGCAGCATGAGAGACATGGTTTGTAATGATAAACCAGTCATGCTCAAACAGTGCGCATGATTCAGCAAAGTGTGAGTTTTCCTTCAGATATTAAAGGGATAGTTCAGCCAAAATGAAAATGTTGTCATTATTTATTTACCCTCATGTCATTCAAAAGTTGTCTGACTTTTTCATTTCTGGGTGAACTATTCATTTTAATATATAAAATAAACAAACCATATAATTAATTCAATTTCTTTATGTAAAGCATCCACATTCATACATATGCACTACTGCATAATATGTAGAATAAAAATGTCCAGACATGACAGATCTATGGCACCTGCTAAAATTATGCAATAGTCTGCCAGGCATCTGACTGATCTATTTCCAAACAGGCATTGAATTATAATTCCAAATCAATCAAACAAGAACTGTAACCAGCTTTCTCCTAGAGCAACATGAGAGCCACCTGTAGAGTTAACCAGTACCTGGTCTAAAGACCAACCCAAACATGGTACACATGGATGAATGCCTGGATTACATGTCATCATCTGTCTCACTGACCTTGCATATCTTGCTCTCTTCTGCCTGTCTGCTGCTACGTGCCAAAGTTGCGGCTGGAGCTGGGACCAAGGTTGACCTCCTATCATGGATCTCCGTCTTGAATGACAGCTGACAGGAGAGCATAGAAGATTCTGTGACCCTGAGCTCCGAGCTCCTGGGTGCCAGTCCATGTGCCATGCTGCTTCTCCCTGGGATCAGGATGGGCAGTGCAGTGTGGATGGGTTTGGACCCCACAGCCGGCTGCCGGAGTTTCGATGCAACGCCAACTACTGGCATAGTCCCTCAGAGTGCAAGTCGAACAGAGAAATAAGGAGGGGAAAAAAGTGGAGGAGTTGTCTCTCGTGGTTTTCTCACACAAGGGAGAGAGAGAGAGAGAGAGAGAGAGAGAGAGAGAGAGAGAGAGAGAGAGAGAGAGAGAGAGAGAGAGAGAGAGAGAGAGAGAGAGAGACAAGAGCCCTGTGTCTGCTCTTGATGTCTGGCAGGGGCTATAAGAGTTGGGAGGGGGGCGTATGGTCTCTTAAAGTGTGCTGCTAGCGGGTGAGAGCGTGGACACGCTCATTCTGTTGCCGACAGCGTGTGCTGCTCTCAGTAACTGAGAAGGCTCCTCCACTACACATTCTCCCCTCCTCCTCTCTCTCTTCCACTCCTCCTCTTCCCTTACTGACAAAGCGCCACTACAAACCAAACAGCTCTCGGGGGCGTGAACTTCCCGGGAAGGTAACCACCACTCTGCTCTTCTCACTGCCTGATTACCCAGATCTGACTGTGTATCTCTCTTACATAAACACATGCACACACCGACTGATCTAACTCACTGGTTCCTCCTCTGTCATTTGAAGAACATTCCAAAGCAGCACGTCACACTCCGACTGCAACTGTCAAAACAGTCTCTCCGTAACCCAGCTCAGATCGGTGGACATAGACACCTCACACTGGCTGCAGCTGGAACAACTGAATGCTGTGAAGAAAGAATGAGTGCAAATAGAGCACTCGAAAGACAGTGGAAACATTTGAGGTTGTTTGGAGTAAAAGTAAGTCTGTATATATGTGACAGCCAACACAAACAGATGTTAGAAAAGGTCTACTCTCTTTTATCCCGGAAACAATCCACACTTAAGTTGTTTGTCTAGTTCCCTGGATTAAGCTGCCAAACTCCAATTCACTGTCTCTCTCTTTCTTTTTTTGTGCTGTCAACTTTACTTTCACTCTCATCTCATCTATTATCCCCACCCAGTTTATAGAAATAGTTGGTAAAGGGTCAAAAAGACAGGAAGGCTTGGAGACAGTGGACTGTGTGTTAGACTTTTTGCGTAGCATTTAGTAACGGATGGGGAGAAGAACATGACAGCAATGCTGACAGCACTGACTAACCTCCCTGCTAATTCATGTCAAACAAATAATCAGGGAATTTTCTTGTGTTTAGCCCAGGAGATACGATTCATTTCCCACTAACAGAGGACAACGAATCATTGCCCATGATCACTAAACAGTCTGTCGTTTTGTACCGGGCAAACTGCCTGTATACATGAATTTTCAACTGTGGTGTGAAACTGAGCAGCTCTTGATGTATTAAAGACTTTATTAAGTGGGCAAAATATGACATGTACCATGGTTTTTAACAGCCGTTAGCCTGGTGTGAGACTTAAAAGAGAGTGAAAGTTTTATATGGAAAGAGCCCATCTGGTTCAGTTTAAAAGCAGGGATGTGTGGAGGAACAGCAAGGATTTCCACCACATCGGAACACTTTAACACAGCAACGTCCAGTTCCTAAGCCTATCCTGAGCACCTACAGTTTATTTAATACCTCATGGGATTGACTCAATGCTCACACAACTAAGCCTATATTCTTGTCTGTTTGGTATATTTAGAATCAAGGGCATTTAATGAGATGGTGAACACCTTTTTTTCCATGTTCCTCCTTCATTAACAACATACTTTACTACGCAATCCACCGATACTGCAAAGCAATGAATGATAACTATACCTTCAATGTGAGAAAATTATATACAATTATATATCGAAAAAACTGCTTTGATTTCCTCTCCAGGATTCCAGGTGCTCAGTGTATCACATGTAACTGAACGCTCCAGGCAGAAGGTCAGATTCAAAAAAACATTTCCGCGTGTGTTCCTACTTGAGCAGTGAAGCCCGAATTTAATTTTCATGTCTCCCTCGCAGAGTTCATCAAACTGCTCTGGTGAAGCACTGCTGAACGATGGGCTTCCAGTTACCTGTTTTCCGAATGCACTGCGGTAAATCGGAGCTGAAAGTTTGCCGCTAACTGCCTTAGAAAAGCCAAAGTCAACAGGAGCACAGCAACCTCCGGGTTCAGTTCCATCGGAGCTTGGTGGGTCATGGCTAGTGTGCTGTTTAGCCATCTGACCGCTTTTCTCCACATGAGGGCCCATACTCTTAGCGGGCTGGTTAAGCGGGGACAAAGATCATAAAACATGATGAGGATATTGATGGGAATGACAGCAACATTGTTGTTGATGCCGCAGGGTGATGATGGTAATGATAGAGTTCACTTCCTCAGGCTTGTCTTGTGAGGCACAGTTGACAACTGTGGCCTGTACCTCAGAAGTGCCATAATTCCAACAACAAAAATGCGTCTTTTAAGATCGGCAATACTCCTTGGTAGAGACAAAAAGGCCTGATAAGAGCTAAATTTACAGCCTCAATCTTTATTTCTGAATGTGGGCTCAGCAGAGTTGCTCCATTCTAGGTGGCCTCCAAAGCCACAGTGGAGTATCTTGTGGCAGGGAAAAAGGGCATTCCAACAGAACTGGGGAAAAGAGTGGGCTGAGGGAGAAACCTCAAGAAATTTGGGTTGGGGGAGAATTATGGAAGACCCAAAAGCCACAGCCCAAGAGAGGAAATAGGAACTCTGCATCTCAAGACTCAATCCTCCTGGCCAAACATCATAACATGTGATTAAGTCAACTTGCTGCTTTCCACGAAAGAGCCTGGAAGGAAATCTGCAGCTGTTTGCTGAGATACTCTCTTTTCTCTCTGACTGATAAAAGCAAGGGTTCAGCATTAATGAACCAGCTGACGAGCTCCTGGTCACCACGTTCACCCATGAATCTAAATTTTGTGTTTCTCCAAAAAAAGAATACCAGGCAGTAGTGTTGTCAAAAATATCGATATTTCGATAAATATCGATACTGAAATATCTGAACGGTACAAATACTAATTTCCCGAAGTATCGATACTAGCCGAGCAGTCACTTTCACTTCTCTCAAAAGGCGCGTTGACAAACACCACACGTGACGCACTTGTCTCATTCGCTCTGGTTAAATAGCAAAAGTGAAGTGAATGGAAAGATGGCGAGGGCGGCGCCCCCGCGACCGGCTTTGGTTGATTGATCAAGAACACCACGAGCGGGCATGTCGGAGAATAGCGCGGACACGCGTAAAACACACCGCGAGCGGGCATGTCGGAGTCGGAGAATAGCGTGGACACGCGCTACACGCCGCGAGCGGGCATGTCGGAGAATAGCGCGGACACGAGCTACACACCGCGAGCGGGCATTTCGGAGAATTGCGCGGACACGAGCTACACACCGCGAGCGGGCATGTCGGAGAATTGCGCGGACACGAGCTACACACCGCGAGCGAGCATGTCGGAGAATAGCGCGGACACTCGAGCGGGCTGCGGGCACCCAACAGATTGTTTGACTATCAATAATCCCTCACATCACTCATTTTTTTTTAAATTATTGTATAGGTGAAAACAGACTTAAGGAACAGGCTCCAGGGGTAGGCTACTATTTAGCAGCGTATGCTCAGCATCAGGGGTGTTTGTTGTTTGGACAGACCTGCCCCCACTGCTAAAAAAAAATCCTCAAGGAAACACTGTAACTCTTCCCATTTGAACTTTTCTGAAACATTAACCAAGATGGCCTAGTATTGTTGTTGATAAGAGTCTGTGTTGTCTCGTTTTAATTCTTAAAGTTAACATAATCTGACTGAGGAATCTTAGACAAGTAAATATTGTAACTGTGGTCAAATGTAAATTAACTGGTGCCTATTTAACTTTATTCAAAAATTATTATTTAATTCTGCAATTTTCCTTCATTAGCTATTATCATCAATTTGATTACACAGATATTAATTAAACTAAACAGCTAGACAATTGCATCTCTAAATTCAATAATGACATGCCTTTAACTGAAAATTGAATGTTTAATCTTATTATTATACATTACTGACTCTCTATCCTCCAATTTGATACTGTTAAGTGCTTTTTTGTTACAGTATATTTTAATCTTTGATAACAGTAGGTAATAAAAATACATCATGTTAGCTCTGGTCCAATTAAAAAATATAAACAAATAGAACTCAGGACATTTTTGTTCATGTAAAATATACCTCATTGTCATGTTCTAGACTTGTTATATTTAGCTTTAAATTAAAAAATACCCCCTTAATATTGTGGCAGTTTTTTCTCCGTGGTATCGAAAATGGTATCGAATATCGATATTTTTCAAGGTATCGTATCGAAGTTAGAAATTCTAGTATCGTGACAACACTACCAGGCAGAACCAAAGCAGTGGTTCCTGATTATATGGAACATCCATGCATGGAACCTGACGTCAGAGAGTGGCCTGCACTCCCTGTGAAAACAAGCAGGGGGTTGGGGGGGAGATGGGCAGAATGAAAGACTGAAAACGAGAGATGGGTTGACCCTCTTACATCCCCTCTGGACCCTCCCCTGTCTATACAAATCCCTTGAGAGACAGATAGTCACGCACCTGGTCCCCACCACAAGCACATGCTTATCTCAGCTCTGCAAATAGGATGGCATGGAAAAGAAAACACACACACCCACACACCCACACACACACCCACCCACACACACACACACACACACACACACACACACACACACACACACACACACACACACACACACACACACACACACACACACACACACACACACACACACACACACACACACACACACACACACACACACACACAGGGTGCTGGAGTCATGGATTCCTACTCCCCAGTCAACCTTTGACGACCTCCATGGGCTCTCACTCTCTGCCTGATGGGCTACAGGCTTGAGAGATAAGCTTTATGTGGCACTATGATGGTATTCATTTTTCATCATTAGCATCAGAAGAGTGCTTTTCAAGGTTCTCCTACCATGCTAATCCTTGCAAAGACTTCTAGTCTGGAGTGAATCAGAGATTATCAGGACATGGCAGGGTTGGAGGTGATGGAAGAACTTCCATTCGATTTATTAGTCACCGTTTCTTTTTCATATTGAAGTCTTGAGCCCTTGAGGCCACCGTGATGGAGATGAGTAGTGAAACAGATTGAAACAATTCATTTTTGTGGGAGCAATTGTGCTCCGTTTCGGATTCAAAGGGGTCGGAACAAATGGAATGTGAACTATCCTTTTTCAAACAGCCAAACTTATAAACACACATTTAGCAAAAACGTCAAAGAAATTCCAGCTGCCCGGAGAACATGTTTGGAGCGGGTGGCTTGGCCACATCCCAAAAAAAGAGTGGGTGGAAACAACACTACACTGAATTAAAGCCGCATCCTAATCCCAGCAGGAAATCTTCTACTTTCCCCCAAAAACAGTGCTGCCACTTTCCTACTTAGTGGTCAACTTCAATAACAATTAAACCTCATAACTTACTAAATAATCAGGCACAAGTGTCAATGACATCTGAAAAGTTTCTAGTATAAAAAATATATATATTTTAAAACATGCGTCAAGTTTATGTTGGTTTCATGTAGTTTTGAAACCCTTCTATACTTTCTTCAACAAAACTTAAAATGTAGATTTTGTTTTATTCTATTTTATTTGTAAATTTTAAAGAGAAAATAAAATCAAGACAAATATTTTACTTGTATGTATGAGTATACGCATCAAAGCATTCCTAAGAAAAAATAATAAAAGATTGTACCAAACTACTTTGGCGCAATTATTCCAAAAATGTCATTCTTTTAAGAAGGCGTTTTTCCCCCTTCATTTTGATTTCAAAAAAGTTGTATCAGCCTGATTTTTCCTTTTCTTTTATTTACCATTTAATGGCTAATTGAATTTAAATCCGAAAACTGAAAACATGATCATCATAGATGGTGTTTTCAGGTCATTGTAGGTATAAATTGGATTTTAATATTATCTTCATATATTTTTTTTTTAATGATTGAACATAAGACTATATAAGGTAATATAAGGGGGGGGGGGGAGGCACATAACTGAGCCATATATAAAGAGAATCCTATCCCAGATGCCATATAAAACAGTACTAATCATACAGACACGCTCTGAGTATACTGAACTTGCGGCCACACAAAACTGCCATGAAAAAAGCTATTTTCTGTACAATATTTTTAGATATTAACTATGGTCTTCCCTCATGTTTTGCTCACTCCATCTCTTTCTTTATTTTTGGTGCAAGATTTGGTCTCTTTTGAAACATGTTGCAGCTGGTTTTGATTGAACTCAAGCAGGGAATCAATGCACACTTACCAACCAGAACAATAAGCAAGAGGCAGGGATGTACAGTAAGTATAACTGTGCCTATTGTGGCCTAAAAATAACATGAAAGGGAGGTCAGCCATCAGTCTGAACCAGAGGAAGAGGCCACCACAACACTGGGCTCAGTCCCAACTAAATATCCCAGCAGTATAATACTAACATGGACAAGCACAATAGTAGATCAATGAACACTCAGCTGCCCAGGAGTCAGCAGCTATGTAGCCAAGGTTAGAATAACAAACACAGACAAACTGTTAAGGTCCAGTCCACTGCAAAACTGACAGGAATCATTGGGTCCAAAAATGTGCACGCCAGACATTGTGGAAATTAGATTCCCCCACACACACACACGCGCACACAGACACACAAAAACACACACACGCGCACACACAAACGCGTTGTGTTTTCATGTTTTATGGGGACTTTTCATAAACATAATGATTTTTATACTGTACAAACTGTATATTCTATCCCATTACAACCACCCTACCCCTAAACCTACACATCACACAAAACTTTCTGCATTTTTACATTTTCAAAAAAATCACTTAGTATGACTTATAAGCTGTTTTCCTTATGGGGACCAAAAAATGTCCCCACAAGGAGAAAGATTTTGGATATTGCAACTTTGTGGGGACATTTTGGCCCTATAATGCAGGGTTTACCAGGCCACACACACACACGTACAAATCACAAGTGCATTATGAATTAAAATGTTTAAGCTTCATAATCATAACCAATATTCACACGGCAGCTTCAACTAGGCTACTTCTTTTTTAGAAATAAACATTACTTACATTATGCTGGGCAGGTCTAATCAAAGCTATATACATAACTGAACTATACAAATCCACCGAACATTCAGAGACCTAACCAGACCAAGTTCCGGAATTGTTTCTTTGAGGCTCAATATCAAACCCTAACAGATTACATCCACACACACAGCTGGCTCATCAGCGAGTAGTCTTTTCACATCAACACTAACACACCAGCCTGCATTCCAAGGTGGCTTATCCTGGCACTAGTTGCCTTTAACAAACAGCATGGAGTCACGGCCATCCAATGCCTTACAGGGTAAAAGCATTCACCAAAGCCAAGGATGGCTTGAAAAAAAGCAGCTAAACCTAACCTCATATAGTAATAAAAAAGGTGAGATCTTTCAGCACTGAGTCATTAAGTATATTTTATATTTCTTTTTTTTAAAACGCAACAGCGGATATCACAAAAAAAATAATAATGGCCAAATAATAACAAATTTAACAAACTAAAAAACAAAACAAAAATTTAACAAAATAAAATAAAAATAAATAACATAAGATATAATTACATAATAAATAAATAAAACACACACAAATACTTGTAATATTAAAAAGGAAAGAGAGTGTGATATACTCTCAAAGTATCTCAAAGTTCGTTTTTAGACCATAACGCCAATCTAGGATTCAGAACAAGATGTCATTTACATGTACACATCTTAGTTAAAGTTGCGAAAAATGTTTTAATTTAAAAAAAGCATGCAAAAGTATAGCAACTTCAAACTTTTTCTGATGCAAGAAACTTTATTATTGAACTGTAAGGGGGGAAAGCTACAA